GGTCGGCGCCCGGGGCGGCGCGGGAGGCGTCGCCGGGGAGTCCCCGCGCCGATCCAAGAAATCCGCGCTGAGCTCCGAAGGCTTCTGCTGTGCCGTTTTTTCTGTCTCGACTCATGGGCGTCGAGGAGCTGCCCTTGGAGGACACCCTGGCCGCCGTGAAGGGCTGCGAGCTGAGCGCATCTCACGCGAACACGGCGGTATCCATCGCCCGCATGTTCATCGCGACGAAGATGGTCGAAGCGAAGCGGTTCTCCCCGGGTGCCGCTCAGGAGGCCCAGGGCAAGCTCAAGGAGTACCAGGCGGAGCTTGAGACCCACACGAAGAAGCTCACGGAGCTGAAAAAGGCCACCTCGGAGAGGAAGAAGGTGGCCACCATGAGAGAGGCTGAGCGCGAGGTGCAGAAGGCCGAAGAGCTTGTCAAGATGATGGGGGAGGCAGCATCCGTCTTCCAGGACGACGACAAGCTATCGAACACGCCTACGGCGAATCACCGCCGCACCCTGCCCTTTCGGAAGCGCCTATGTGGCCGAACGCTGTGGCCAGAGGCCTCCCCGAAGCAGTTTGGAAAGCGTTCGAGGAACACGGTGGGGGAGGAGGGTGGGGAGGAGAGGGAGGAAGAAGGAGAAGGGAGGAGGAGGCCTCTTGGGAGCCTTTTGGGCAACTCTAGGGGTTTATTGGGCCATCTTTGCGGTCTTGGAGGCATCTTGGGACTGTTTTGGAAGCCATTATGGGGCTACCTTGGGGCTTCCTGGAGCCATCTTGATCATCTTGGACTCATCTTGGAGGCCATCTTCGGCCACGTTGGCCGTCTTGGAGGCGTCTTGTGGCGCTTCGGGGCCTTCGTGGAGGCCATCTTGGGCGTCTTGGAGGCCTCTTGGGCCGTCATGGGGGCCTCTTGGGCCGTCATGGGGCCATCTTGGAGGCCTCGTGGGCGATCTTGGGGCGATCTTGGGGGCATCTTGGGCCGTCTTCAGCCGTCGGAATGCCGAGAAGAAGCAAATGCCTCTTCGGGCCCTCCTGGCGGACCCCTTGGAGGCCTCTTGGGTCGTGTTGGGCCGTCTTGGAGGCTTCTCGGGCGACCTTGGAGGTATCTTGGATTCTTTTGGGCCGTCTTGGAGGCCGTCTTGGACCATCTTGGGCAGACTTGGAGGCCATCTTGGACCATCTTGGAGGCCATCTTGGGCCAACGTGGCCATCTTGGAAGCCATCTTGAGCCGTCTTGGAGGATTTTTGGGGGGATTGAGGTCCTGGGCAGTCTTTTCGGGTGGCCAGCGGGACGGGCCGAAGCCCCAGGAGGAGTTCTTTTGGAAAAGAACCAACACCGAAACCGAAAGGGTTCAGCACGCCAGGCACCCCTGTGATGAATCAACATGGGGCGGCGGATGACGGAAAGCGCGCGTTAGCGTGCGGTCCGTTAGTCGGAAGAAATTTGACTTGGGGGAGTTCGAGGGGGGTGGCATCGCCAGTCCCGGATCTAATTGCCCCCCCGCCTCGTTTTTTATCGAATAGGACGGCCTTCGGGGCTTAAAAACAGCGTTGAGACATCATCGAAAAACGCTTCTTGGGCGCTTCTTGGGCCGTCTTAGGCGCCTAAGACAGCCCAAGAAGCGGCCAAGACAGCGCCCAAGACGGCCCAAGACTGCCCAAGAAGCGCCCAAGACGGCCCAAGAGCGCTCCAAGAGAGCCCAAGACCGCCCAAGGCGGCCCCAAGACGTCCCAGGAGGCCTCCACGACGCCCCAGGAGGCGCCCACGAGGCGTCCCAAGAGGGCCCCAAGAGGCTACAATCATTGATTTTCTTAAGGAAAACGTGCATTTTTAGCATATACGGCTTTTCGCCTTTCATGGCGTTGAAGACGGTCCAAGAGGCCCCCAAGACCGCCCCAAGACGGCCCAAGATGTTTCCAAGAGGCCCCCAAAATAGCCCAAGATGGCGCCAAGACGGGCCAAGGGGCGCCCAAGACTGTCCAAGAGGCCCCTAAGAGCGCCCCAAGAAGGCCCAAGAGGCCCCAAGACGGCCCCAAAACGGCCCACGCCAAGACGGCCCAAGAGGCGCCAAGACGGCCCAAGACGGCCCCAGGACGGCCCCAAGAAGGCCCCAAGAGGCCCCCAAGAGAGCCCAAAGACGGCCAAAGGCAGCCTAGTCCCTTCACCCCCGCAGCCCAGAAGCTCCCAGGTGGCCCCAAGAGGCCCCCGAAAAGCCCCCAAAGGTCCCCAGGAGGCACCCAAAAGGCTCCCCAAGAGCCCCCCAAGAGGCCACAAATACTCCCAAAGGCTCTTAGCACCGCGGCTCCGAAGAGCGAGCGGTGACGCAATCGAGCTGATAAGACCAAAGCTCACAACAGAGAGCTGCGGCGTAATAAGTTCTTGACGCCAGGGCACAGGGACGGGCGGCAACGCGTGGACAACGAGCGGTCCACGCAAGGAAAACGCGGGGTTCTGGAAAGCTGGCAGCCCAAACGCGGAAAACGCAACGCGACCCGACCGCCCCCTCCAAAACAAGAAACGCGCTCAAAGAAAGCTCCGCGACTCTCCGAGGCTGAGATCGGATAAGAGCGAGGGGAAGGGAGTCAATAAAAGGTGTAAGAGCGGACGAGCCAGCGATCTCGTGCGCTCTGAAACTAAGTGTTCTTTCCGTCCCCGTGCCAAGCAGGTGACGGAAAGAGCGAGGTACGAGCGAGTGACGTTGAGTAGGGGGCGAAGCCCTTCTTAGGGGGGTCCAGGGGGGGTGCGAGGCGCGGGCGGAAAGTCTAATAGCCCGTTTCCATTTTATTTGTTCGAATGAAGCGGCTCCCGGGCGGCTCCCATGGCCCGTTTTTTGTTGTTGTATTTTTCCCCAGACGGGCCCAAGACGGCCCAGAGACCCCAAACATCGTCCCAAGACGGCCCCGGAGGCGCCCCAAACGGCCCCAAAACGGTCCAAGAGGGCCCCCAGACGGGCCCAAGACGGCCTAAGAGGCCCCAAAGATCATCCCAAGACGGCCCCAGAGGAGCCCTCAAGGGGCCCCAAACGGCCCAAGATGGCCCCCAGACGGCCCCAATACGGCCAAGAGGGCCCCGAGGGCCCTAAGAGAGCCCAAGAGGGCCCCAATAGGCTCCCCAGCGCGCCCGAAGAGGAGGCGGGGGAGGAGGATGAGGAGGAGG